CGATCCGTTGATCCAAAGTTGATGTATTTCCTCAGCGACCAGCACAGATCAGCTCTAGGCATGACGAAGCGGATATCGTCCTCTTTTGGAAGACCAAACAAAGTAGTTTCGCTTCACAACGAAACACACAGCGCCTTCACGACATGGCGGCGGCAACAACAATACTACAGCGAGAATAAAAGTTACCCCTTCTTTCTTTGCATGAACATTTGGGCGGTGTTATGCAAATCTTCCCAGATAGTGACGTAGACATGTGGGGGCGTGTTAGAACGAGCCGTTTTAGGTAGGCGTGGCTGACTCTTAACTTTTATAAAGAATATCTCTTTGGATTTGAGACTTTAGTCTTTGCAACTTTACAGATCTTCTTTATGCACCAAGAGCTTGTAACACTCCAAAGAGAAAGGAAAAATTGAAATTGCATCATATGACCCCTTTAAATAAATAGATAGTTTTATTCAGTAAACTTTGCTACAAAAAAATATCTATTTTAACTATTAAGCAGCCAACTGTTTTAAGCATCGATAAGCAGAAGAAATGTTTCTTGAGCAACAAATCAGCATATAAGAATGATTTCTGGAGGATCTTAAAATTGTCTGCTGAAAATTCAGGTCTGCCTTCACAGGAATAAATAAAACAAAAATAAAAAATTATTAAAATATAAAACAGTTGTTTACATAGTAATACTATTTCACAGTATTACTGTTCTTACTGTATTGATCAAATAAATACAGCCTTGATGAGCATCAAAGACTTTCAAAAACCTTACAAAATATATTACTGACCCCAAACTTTTGAACCATAGTGTACATTACAAAAAGCAAAAGCAACAAACAAAAATATCAACAAAAGAAAACTGCAAAAAAAAAAAAAAAAAAACATTTTGTGAAACTCTCTTGGCGTTGTACCTGTGAAGCCAGAAAACTTGCGAGGAGCATTGACTGTTGGATCAGCTAGCGGTGCTGACAGCTGCCCACTGTTGTTTAACTTTGCTTGCACTTTCTTCTTTGGAGATGCATTGGCTTTGCCTGCCAGTTCTGTTAAGAGGAGAGGAGAGGAGAGGAGAGGAGAGAAGAGAAGAGAAGAGAAGACTGCTCAGCATATGTCAGGTCTGCGATGACATCTGATCTGAACTAAACAAGGAGAGTAAAGCTAGGGGTAACAGTGGCTGAATACCTGAAACATGTTTATTGATTAGTTCTTTATCCTCATCCTGAAGTTCCTCCCATCCCTCCAGCTCTGTAATGTCGTCGATCTTCTTTGTGGTGGCGCGTGCTCTCTCAAGCTTCTCAAAGATGCACTTCACGTGGTACCACGCCTTCATTTCCCCTGCAGACTCACTAAAAGGGTTTGGCACTATCTTGCCAATCCGGACCAGCCCCTTCATGATCTTGTCTTTGCATTTCTTGCAGCCAGCCGTGCCACGTTTGGCATATTCCACACAGTATCTCTGCTCTGCCATGACTGGTCGTTCACTTCGCCACTCAGGCCAAGAAACGTGGAAATAAGAGCCGGAGCTGAGACTAAACTGTCGAATTTGTGGCACACAGAAAACGATGCCACTGGGGCTAGACACAAAGCCCCACGAAAATATAAGAGTCCTCGAGCACTGGAGCGACTGATGATTTAGTGTTGCTCTGAATGAAGTTTCCTTACAAAGTTTTGGCACAGATGATCTGCTGAGTGTCCTCACTGCCCTGCCAAGCCAAAGACTGGGCATAAAGTTCAGTAAAAGAGAGTTTCCATCTTACACAGCAGAGGTGATTTCTGCAAGAAAAACACAAAATGCTCATGCTTAAACAGCATTCAGGGGTATTTTTGACATAAACTAGAGTTGTGTGGGAATGTTAAGCTTAGTATTTTAAGTATAGGCTGGTGAGGTGGCAGCTAAACTGAAATATCATATTTTTTTATTAAGCAATAACATGTTACAACTCTACAGATCACAAACAAACATATACATTATGTAGAGTGTATGTTTATATGTAGACTCTGAAGAGTTGTGAAATGTTATTGCAACTCTACAGATCACAAATACACACACAAACATACATAAAATGTTTGAACAGTAAGATTTTTAATGTTTTCTAAAGAATCCTCTTCTGCTCACCAAGCCTGCAATTTGATCCAAAATACAGCAAAAGCAGTAATATTGTGAAATATTTTTACTATTTAAACCCTGAATATATTTTAAAATGTAATTTATTCCTGTGATTTCAAAGCTGATTTTTTTTTTGCATCATTACTCCAGTTTTCAGTGTCACATTATCCTTCAGAAATCATTCTAATATTCTGATTTGCTGCTAAAAAAAAACCTTAGTAAACATGGCAGCGTTTTAGTGCGATAATATTTTTAGAATAAAGTAAAAATTACGAGATTAAAGTTGTGTTATATTGCGTGAATAAAGTTAATGTGAAAATTCCACCAACTCAAAAAAAACCCGAATGTAAATGTTGTTACACCTGTTATGACTATTCACATGCTGTTTTATTGACGATTTTCGAAACACTGATTGATTTATCGATTACATGAGACATTAGTTTTAAGTAGTTCTGATTTTTTCAACGTCTTCTGATATTCATTCATGTTTATCTCGTGCTGGAACTAGTAGAAAAGACAATGTTTTTGCACATGGGCCAGGGGATGACTTGCTACTCCACTGTGTGTATAATAGTCAATTTTAGTATAAAATACCTGCAGTCCAGCACAATGCAATGCAGAAGAATCATAAGCAACTTCAGCGAACTCTAGTATAAAAAATACTAGCAATGTCATTTTCAAATAGCGTGTGCCGAAACTGTCATTTGATACTGACAGAACTGTCACTTACAATTATATTTTAGTGGATCTGTTTACGTGTCGCTTTGTTGATCAACGTGGAATTAGCTTACATGGTAACCTTAGCTAAACTATGCCGCAGCAGCCATACGACCAGCTAGATGTGAGAGATGATACATTCGTTTTCATCTCACGTTTTACCTCAGTTTTCATTGCAAGACGACCCCAGGCTCCTTGCGTAACGATTTTCATTTTAAAAACAAATAACTAATATGCTAGCAAAAAAAAGAAAAAAGAACACGGTTCTGAATTGTGTTCTGTCCCCTTTAAATCACATGAGCGTTTTCTCTTTGTTTGGAAGTGTTTCCTGTGCCGTGCGCATGTGCACCGTTACATATCGCTGTTTTATAATTATTCGTTTTTGAAAACACTTGCCTTAGACACAAACCTAAGGAGAGCGCTCCCAAACTCGACTGTAGACTTTATATTTTAAAAGTTTTAAAACTCCTTGTGCAAACAAGAATTCCGCGTTTTGTTCTACAATTTAAATTACACACATTAAAACCTGACTTTTTGAAGATAAATAATATAAATAAATAAATAAATAAAACAGGTTGCTAAATAAGGACTACAGTTGTTGCCTGTTTCGTCCAAGCAGGTCAACTCACATACTTGTGGGAGCTGTAGTCCTCATGCTGAAAAAACCCTGCAGTTTAATCTGGAACAGCGTTCTAGCGTCGTAATCTTACTATTTCTGCCATATATTTCTTTATTTTCATATTTATGCTCTTTTATATTCAAGATAATACACCTTGATAAAATAAATAAAATGTCATTTTGATTTAATTAGTAATTTTTCAGTTGTATTAATCCAGCTTTTTTTGTAATGTATACACTATAAACTATATATTCAATACATAAAAGTTATAAATATATTATAAAATGCTAAATGTTATTTATTGCAGTTAGTACATTATTATACTTTGGCATTAGCAACTGGGGTTGAATGCCTAACAGTAGGTCCAATGCAGTGTTTGTTCCAAAAGTACAATCACAGCAGTACAATCCTTTTGTGGATTTGAGTAATAGTTTATTCAGCAGACACAGCAAGACTAGTACATCTTCTTCATACCAAGAGATGGCTGTAATTCCACCACTCTCGACATATTTACATTATACTGAGATGTACCTCTATGCTAATGTTGACTTTTATCATTATTTTTTCTAATGTTAATAAAAGTTTTATTTTTATATTTTAATGATACTTATTAAAGAGTCACATTTAACACACAGACACACACACACACACACATATACACATACACATACACATACACACATCTGATTCCTGTTTAGGACAATGAGTTGGGAAACATTCATAAAATGTAATCTGCAAGACAATTATAAGTTTATGGCACATAAGAAAACTATTCCAACAAAATCAAATTTTAGTTCATGTGTCAATGAGCAGCGTAGATGTTTTTTCCCCCAGCAAAGTGAATTTAAATTCCTAGTATGTAGGATTCAGCAGATTCTGAAATATGCACTGATGCTGAGCAAAGCTCAAAGCTACTATAATCACATCAGTCCAGAAGGCATTTCAAGGTTTCTACTCTAAACACTTCCCTGTGTTTACTAAACACAAATATAAATGCACTTTTAATTCACCACACCACATCTTCATGTGCCAAATCTTGCCTAGAGCAGAATTAAATATAAAAAGTGACGTGACATGTGGCCAAGTATGGTGACCCATACTCGGAATTAGTGCTCTGCATTTTTCCCATCCAAAGTGCACACACACAGCAGTGAACACACACCCGGAGCAGTGGGCAGCCATTTTTTGCTGCGGCGCCCGGGGAGCAGTCGGGGGTTCAGTGCCTTGCTCAAGGGCACCTCAGTTGTGGTATTGAAGGTGGAAGAGAGCGCTGTACATTCACTCCCCCCACCTACAATCCCTGTCGGTACGAGACTCGAACCCGCAACCTTGGGTTACGAGTCCGACTCTCTAACTGTTAGGCCACGACTTCCCCTAGCAATAAATATGCTCTATTAACATATGATTATGGAGATCAAGGATTGCAGATTATGCAATCAACAAAGATATCATTTCTTGCAGGGTATCATGGGAATGTAGCATCTGTAAATATTTTCCTATCCATATCTAGACCATAGCATGTTAATTAATCAGATAAGCATGTTAATATAGCATCAGTAGTTACACTAACAAGCTAAAGCAGTATGTTGAATAACAATCAGTGTCACTGGGTACAAACATCCTATTTTTCAATACAGATTTCATCCAGACAACCCCACTTCGGTCATAATTGTCTCCTTAAAGGAATATCTTATGAAAGTATTTCCATGTGAAATAAATCAAGAAAATTAAGGTTGATTCACTAAGGAATTACACCATTTCTTCGAGATGGTCCTCACTGCAGAACACAAGATCCAGGGGGCGAGGCTGGATCCAGATCCAGCTCCTCCCACCTTACATATACCTAAACCTCCACCCCGATCCCTAAACCCACCCATCTCCACCCCTAAACCTACCAATCTCCACCCCCTAGATGTGGATCCAACCCCGCCCCCTGGATCTTTGTTCTGCAGTGAGGGGCTACATGGTTTCTTCAGTATAATAATAGTCTGGATGAGATATCTTATGTAGAGTAGACTATAATTTTGTTTTCCTCCAAAAAAGCACCACTAGTAAAACCTCTCTATATGTGTGTGACTTCTTTATACAAAAAAAAGATGAGAAGGAAATAAAAGATGAGGAAAGAAAGTTTCAAGAGGGAAATATTGATTGGGTCTCGGTTCACTTGTGTGCTGGGATGAGGTGAGATGTCTGCAGTACATTTCTCCACCTCAATTAGGGAGTAAAACATGGGTCCCAAAGGACAGACTGAAGGGAAACTAATGGAATGATTCATCAGTCAGTGATGGCTTGTTCACAATTAAAAACAAATTAACTGACAATGAAGCGGAATGATTAAAGAAAGAAAATGGTCTTTTAACAATATAGACCAAAAATGAGGGAGCACATAAAATGTTTTCATTGCTCAATCGGAGATTAACAGGGCCTGATCATATCGCGAGAGGCCCCTGAATATATATGTTTTTACATTGCACTGTGCACGCAGAGAAACCTGTGGGCCCTCATGCTGTAAGGGGTCCTTTGCACTCTATGAAGCAAAGGGCAAGGGCCTTTGGTGTCCCTGACAGTCTGAAGCTCACTGTGCCAATCCATAATTCAGCCCTATACTTTAAAACAGACTGTACAAATGGAAGTGCAAATTGAATGTAATGTTTTTGGACACTTAAAGGTACAGTTCACCAAAAAATGAACATCTGCTAAAAATGTACTGATCTTCAGGGTTTCCAAGAAGTAGATGAGTTTGTTTCATCATCAGAAGAGATTTGGAGAAATTTAGAATTACATCACTTGCAATGCTACATTTGATGCTAAAAACGGTTTAAAATTAAAATGCCTTAAAGATAGAACTGTTTCTTACAAACACACAGCTTTTCACAAGAAATGAATTGATAGACTGGAGTGTATGTTTTTATCAGTTGTTTAGACTCTCATTCTGACGGCACCCATTCACTGCAGAGGATCCATTGGTGAGCAAGTGATCTATTGCTAGATTTCTCCAAATCCTTTCCGCTCATCTATATCTTGGATGGTCTAAGGGTGAATGCATTTTCCACCAAATTTTCATTTTTGGGAGAACTATTCCTTTAATTGTCTGTTAATTGCAATTAATTAAAAAAATGATTATAGTTCATAATTTATACTAAATGCAGTTAGTTGAAACTACGTGTGCTTTTTTGACACACTGAAGCAGGACTTAAGTACAGCTTTATATGTAATTTCATAATTACTTACTGTTGTCTTTGAAATATGGTTATATACTTTTAAGATTTGAAGTACACTACAAATGCACATTCAGATCCCTACAGGCCAGCTTTGGAGGCCCCTGACAGTTCAAGGTCCACTGTCCTGACCATAATCCAGCCCTGAATGTTAAAACAGGATGCATGATTATTTATTTACATTGCATTGGCTTATAAGGAGACAGTATGTCAGAGCGAAAACCCAAAACCTTCCCTGTGATATACTCTGCCCTGAAGTGTGCCGCAAATTATATTCATAAAAGAAATAAGAGAGTAAGCACAGACCTGCTCGCTTTGACTGATACATTAGACACGCGGACTGCCTTCAGTCTCTCCCCGGACTAATGAAAATGTGCATTGTAACATTATTATTTCCATTGATTTCTTTCCAACCCAATGTCAGGACATTTAATCTTTTACTTATCACTCTCTCTCTCTCTCTTGCCACCACACCCATCACTGGCCTTATTTTTCTTTTCAGCGTAAATCAATATTGGTCTTGAGAGTTTTCGCTCTGTGCTTTTTCCTTATACCTGTCTATTTCTTTGACTCATGTCCCATTTCCCTCCTTTAACATCTGCTGCCTTCTTTCTTTCTCCGTTTCTCACAGTCTGTGTTTGATTTCCAATTAAGCTGTCTCCAGGCTTGAGTCCTGCATGACCTTTAGCGGCTGCAGTGCTGAAGGACACAGGCTGAAGCACAATAAACATCTCTCTTCTGAAAGGCTATGATGGAAGTTTTTCCAGCAGAATGCATGCAACTGCATTTCAATTTAATGCAGGTTAATGCAACTGAATAAAAGGGCACATTGGGGCACTTTTTCTCACATAGCTACAAAAAGGGGCCATTTTCAATATAAATATTTGATTATGTTTATTTAAAAAATATGCTCCATGTTGGCTCCACATTCAACAGATGGACGTATACTTACATTTAAGGCTTTTAGAAGGTGCTTTTATCCAGTGTGACTTACAGAAGTGGTTTTGCATCTCATATGGGAGCACTGTAATCAACAGATGGCAAGCATGTCACCTGGAACACTATTTGCTAAAGAAGTGCTTCCTGTACAAAATAAAACAAGTGCTACAAACCTATCCTTGTGAAAAAGAAGTACTCTTCAGCATACTTAAAGTATTAAAAAAACACATAAAAAGAACTAAATATATATTATAATACATAAATAATATAATATAACATAAAATAATATGATACTTTCAAATAATATTCTTATGTGCAAACTGAATGTAATGTTTTCCGACTTAATTTGCATAGTTGCAATTAAATGAAAATGTATTATAGTTTAAATTTATATTAAATGCAATTAGTTGAACTTTAGAGTAATATATATATATTTACATAATTAGATGTATTTAGAAGAAATTTCATAATTACTTCTATTTTCTATTGTATTATTCTGTTCTATTGTACTGACCATGACCAAT